TCCATAACTAGAAACAGAAATTCGTATGTACCATTTCCATGATCAAAAGCAGTGGGTGACACCGTGGCCGGACCGCGAAGCAAAACACGCCACGAGTCGCCACCAATAAGCTTCAGTTTTCCATCGCGAGTCTTGGTTTGAATGCTAAAGCGGCTGAACTGACCCGCTGGTCTAATGTCAAAGAACGAAATCAAACTTTTAGCGGCATCCGTTTGTAGCTGACGGTTCGGTGACTCTCCATTCCACGAGACGTTGTAGAAACAAGGTCTCAACAGCGAGTCCAAGTCGACTCGAGCTCTACGAACACGACACCAGTTTACTTGGAAGTGGTCGATATGACGCGAGATTCTCATCGAGTTCTCGAGATGCTGTGATTTGTCTTCGTTGCTGAAATATTGGTAGAAGAGAATTTGAACCGCCACCGCTGAAAACCATAATTTGAGAAATGTTTTCCACTTCTGGAAAAGGATTTGAATCATTTGGAACATTTATCTCCTGTCAACTACATTACAAGGCAGTCCTTTTTTTGCAAATTCCGCAAAACGCTGTTCCATTCGCCACTGGAAATTTCCAAGTTTTTCAATGAATGGAAAGCGCCCAGTATATCAATAGAAGCTAGTGGTGTCATAAACAACATGAAACTGAATAAGGAGAAAAAGCAAACAATGAAGAGCATAAAGAACAGCACAACACATGCGTGCCTGGCAAATTGGTTGAATTTCTATGGCAATGGTCTCTGTTGTTTCAATTTAATTCAATGTGATTTCAATGCAATTCTCGTAACGAGCGAAATTTATTTCTTACAATGTACATGTAGTTGACATGAGATAAATGTTCCAAATGATTCAAATCCTTTTCCAGAAGTGGAAAACATTTCTCAAATTATGGTTTTCAGCGATGGCAGTTCAAATTCTCTTCCATCAATATTTCAGCAACGAAGACAGATCACAGCATCTCGAGAACTCGATGAGAATTTCGCGTCATATCGACCACTTCCAAGTTAACTGGTGTCGTGTTCGTAGAGCTCGAGTCGACTTGGACTCGCTGTTGAGACCTTGTTTCTACAACTCAGCTACAAACGGATGCCGCTAAAAGTTTGATTTCGTTCTTTGACATTAGACCAGCGGGTCAGTTCAGCCGCTTTAGCATTCAAACCAAGACTCGCGATGGAAAACTGAAGCTTATTGGTGGCGACTCGTGGCGTGTTTTGCTTCGCGGTCCGGCCACGGTGTCACCCACTGCTTTTGATCATGGAAATGGTACATACGAATTTCTGTTTCTAGCTATGGACCCAGGAGTATATAAGTTAGATATCACTTTGGACTATAGCTTATGTGATGGATACCGCGATCCGCCGAAAAACTGGTTTATTGTAGGTAAGTAGAAAATGTTGTGTAGATTTAGCCAAGCGCTAGCCTAAAATCGGAGTTCCAATAAAATACTAATTATATATTCACTTAAAACAATAACCATTAGAGAGAAATTCACCAATAAGCATGCAAATGATCTCGTAAATGCTTTAAAAACCTAAAATTCTCAAAAAAACGTTGCCGAATGAAAGAAATGTTAAAGACACTTCGTTTAAAATTGATTATCATTCAAGATTAAGCCAAGAAAGAAATTTAACAGCAGAAAAACGTCCAAAATTTCAAAGAAGTGCGGTTTCGCATTTAGCCTGTACTATTAATTATTCACGCTAAAGCGAACTTTGAAAATAATATTTGCGGACGGATTTGCAGGTTTTGCGGTCAATTAATCGGCCGTAACTTTATTATCAGTTTTTAAACTGAAAGGTCGAATCCAATATCATATCGGACAATGCTGTATGTTCTTATTTTGTTTTCTGATGTCCTGAGAGCTTCTTTAAATCAGGGATCTGTATTCAAAATACAGTTGAAAGCGCATTGATAGTCATGCCCACGGTCATTGAAGGAAAGAAAAAATTATCCAGGTATTTTTCATCAGCAAGGTTTTTGTAATTCTCTACCCCATGATATTCCTCTTCGGTGCCTCCTAAACATGGTTTGGTGTTACTTTTATGGCCAATATTAGTTTATTGTCTGTGTGATGAATGAAAGCAAAAACTTGGAAACTTGTAAATTTGTAAACGTTCTCTTTTATTTTCCGTGAAGCGTGAAATGCCAATGTTGTATATTTCGTGAATTGCGAAAGGGCTGCTTTTATTTTCCGTGAAACGTGATCTATACCCCCCCTTTACTACCCTCATGGTTTACTCACAGTTTACTCACAGTTTACTCACGGTTTACTCACGGTTTCCTCACGGTTTACTCAAAGTTTACTGATGGTTTACTCACAGTTTACTCACAGTCTCCTCCCGGTTTTCTCACAGTTTATGCACAGTCTACTCACAGGTTACTCACGGTTTACTTACGATTTGCTTAGGGGGTTTACTCACATTTTACACATGGTTTACTCACGGTTTACTCATGCTTTACTCATGGTTTACTCATGGTTTACTCACAGTATACTCATGGTTTACTCATGGTTTACTCACAATTTACTCATGGTTTACTCACAATTTACTCAAGGTTTACTCACAATTTACGCATAGTTTACTCACGGTTTACTCATGGTGTACTCACGGTTTACTCACAGTTTACTCACGGTTTACTTATGGTTTACTCACGGTTTACTCACAGTTTACTCATGGTTTACTCACAGTTGACTCATAGTTTACTCACAGTTTACCTATCGTTTACTCACGCTTTACTCACGTTTTACTCACAGTTTACTCACAGTTTACTCACGGTTTTCTCTCGGTTTACTCACAGTTTACTCACGGTTTACTCACGGTTTACTCACAGTTTACTTACGGTTTACTCACGTTTTACTCACAGTTTACTTACGGTTTACTCACGGTTTACTCATGGTTTACTCACGGTTTACTCACGGTTTACTTATGGTTTACTCACGGCTTACTCATAGTTTACTCACAGTTTACTCACGGCTTACTCACGGTTTACTCGGCACGGTTTACTCATCAGTCCGGAATATTCCGATAAATTAGGACATCTGTGATGTCACGAAACTCACGTTTCAACCAATGAGAATGCGTGTTTTGATTGGAGTGTTGTGTTTCACAACAAACCAAGAGATTCAAGATGGTGGACAAAGAGAGTCGCGAATACTTTCCAATGCCATGAATGCGGGCCTTCAGGAGGAATATGTTTATCTCGAATTGAGTTTAATACTGTCCAAATTATAAAATAAAAGGAAAGTTTGTGTTCGCGTTCCATGTCCCAGACAATTCTGCCCAGATAACGATTATCCTCGGACCGAAGGAAGCACCACAGAACGCAATGCGGGCCACGTTTGACGAGCTGTTATCATTCTTTGGAAAGAGACCGTACAATCGGTAAGCATCTGTACTCTGCATTTCTCTAAGCACAGAAATGATCGATATGAGAATTGAGGCTTTCCTCTTATCTAGGGATTATCGGGCCGAAATCGACAGCACGCGCGTGTTCTT